CATTGGATACAAACATGATGAATAACATCTGGAGTATGTATAAACAAGGTAGGAGACATCATCTCAGTCTAGGCATTACACATCAGGAAGTTCACTGTCAATATCTGATACCTCTGTAGTAGATATTTGGGGAGAAGTCACTTCCTTTCTTTTGACATGCTACCTTTGACTCATTCATGCTACCCAGAGTACATCTTGATGTCAGAGTACAGCATTCAGAGTACACTGTCAGTCATGATCCAGCTACCCGGCAGTAGTGTTACAATAACAACAGTTCCTGTTCCCAGCCCCCCGTTAAACCACGACACCTGTGTTGGGTATCTGCTAGGGTGGTTTGGAGGTTTGTTCCATTAAAGCAAACTAACTATCTGTACCTCTTCAGGGCTTACTGTTTCTTGGATTTCTATAAGGTGTTGAAAATCCTATGTTGACATCTAATGTTCTGGAGATACTGTAAGAAGATAAAGAAAGTGAGACATTGGAAAGGAGAAGAGGTTTGAGAAGAAAAGGTGAAGAAGAGCTTAGATTGGTTGCTAGCTAGCAGAAAACTGGACGATAGATTAAAGATAGAAATCCATGGCTTTTTGGCTATTGAGTAAACTAAGAAAGAGAATAATAAAGAGTCAAGATGAAAGCCAAAGTAGATCTTCCTCATGTCTTTTCTGCTGAGACTAGCTTGGTTTTTGCTGAACAGAGTGTAAAGGAGAGCCTGTGACATATTCTGTACACATTCTGTTGTAGAGAAACATTTTTGAAACTGTGCTAATCTACCTTCTCAGCCTGGAACATGTCAAGAATCTTAGATGTTTAAGTTTTCACTACCTTTCTCCCACTGCTGCTTTTAATGTTCAACTCCTCAATAAAAACAGCAGTATTCTCCCAACCAGATTGGCATAACAGATAAGTACTGCAGAGACCATGTCATGATTCTTACAATTACAGGCAGTTTTCTGTGCAGTATTTCTAATAAGCTCAGATTGAGTTAATCTTTCACATCTTTCACCATTGCTCACCAGAAATATCTAAGCAGCAAAATCTCTTCTGTCCACTGGCTGGGATTGACTGACAGTGAGATTGAAAACACCTGGAAATGGGTGGATGGAACGACAGTGATCATGAGTGAAATGTAAGTTTTGGCAGCATTGCTGCAACAGATTAAATGTGCCCTGGTAGCAAAATGATGTTTCTTGGCCCCTGAGCCATTCCTGCACTACTACATGGATATTGCTGTCAACACTGAAGCTATAATCTCAGAGTAGAGTGGTACCCATGGAATGGATATACTCAAGGTCAAATCAAAAAGTCAGCTTCAAAAAGGTGCAAGTCATGGCAATATTCTGTTAAAGGGATGTGATTGTTAGGAATCTTCAGTGAAACCAAAAATAATTCATGTCAAACTAGAGGAGAGGTACAGCATATGGTAAGGGTCAAGTGAGCATGTACCTGGAGAAAATTTTGTGTGGGTTGTTATAAAACCTGTAGAAGGTTAAGAAAATATATTTATTTTTGTTATTCAGATACTGGAATTTTGGAGAGCCCAACAATGTTGGCGAGGAAGACTGTGGAGAGCTGACAGAAGGTAAACTGAATGATGTAGGTTGTGGTGAGATTAAAAGATGGATCTGTGAAAAGAGCTTGTAGCCTTCCTGTCCCTACCTCTAATGAAACAGGCTCTTGAGGATCCCAGCACAGCAGACTTCATTCTGCATCATCAGCAGCAATATTTGGGTAATTCATAGGAATCTGCCAGAAAATCTCATATTTTAAGATCAGTGTCAGTCTGTATTGAAAAAAAAATAGCTTTTAATCAAAGGTGAAATAATGTATCAGCATTCCTAATGGTAGCAACAACAGCAACAACAACAATAGCTGGCATGGTGGCACAGTGCTTAACAGTGCTTCCTCACATTACTGGATCCCTGCGTCCCAATTCTGGATATGGGGTAGCATCTGTGTGGAGTCTGTATGTTTTCCCTGTGTTCATGTGAGTTTGCTCCCGGAGCCTCCCATAGTACAAACACATATTGTCTTTGTCATGCTGGTAGGTTCAGTAATTCCTGAGAGAAACTGGCCCTGATGTGAGTGACTTTGTGTGTGCCTTGTGATAGATCAGTGTAACCTACCTTCTAGCTGTGCCTTCTACATGAGCTTTTGAATAAAGAGGTTAAAAAATGGATGGATATTAATATTTGTCAAAGAAAACTATTACTATTTACAACATTTACAGTAATACATTTTATACCTTGTAAATTTCATACTTTGCTTCTTAATATTGTTAGCTTTGTGTTTGTCTTAATATAGCCATAATATCCTGATATTACATTGTTTAGAGAAAAGAATGTGTGAAACTCATTTTCAAGAAGTCTGATGCCATTTCCTGAAAACAAAGTACCACAAAACACAAACTGTAGACATCATGTTCTGTTTGTCTGATTTTAAATAAGGCAATGGTATGGTTGCCACAGTATTTCATCAGTCCTTTAGTGCTCAGATGACAACAAGAAATGTATTTCCCATTTCTGCTGCACATTGTTTCTAGTGCCTGAATTGTGTTACTACTGGTTCAGATTGACAGCTGTGGAATAAATTAAAATTAATTGACAGAGGACAATCTTGTGTAAATGAGTGGAATTATTTTAATGAAGCTGTTGCGTGGTGGACTGAGGTAATGATGTACTGTATTCACAAATAGCTGGAGAGGTAAGGTATTTCAATGTCTTGTACTGGAAAGAAGCAACAGTTCCAGTCCTGTTGCAACAGGCTATTTGAACTGAGGTAGTGATATTCCACCTTTAACTCTGATCTGTTACTCTTTGAGAAAAAAAAACAGCTACACATATGATCATAGCTTCACATGGTGGTCAAAACCAGAACATGGTTCAGTTAAGACCTTTAATTAAACTCAATTAACCTAATTAAACAAAGGCAAATCAACAGTCCTTAATTATACACTTGTAATACAAAAATAGGAATTAGTAACTCCAATTTAATTATTTATAATAAATGTTGAATGTGATTAAGTCACTAAGTCCAGGGTCGGTCATAAAAAAATTGTCATACGCAAAACTAAAGGGAAAAAACAGTATCTGTTTATGGAGGTGCTCTTACACACCTAAGGCAGCAGTGTGGTGGAGTACTCAATGTTCTGGACTTGTATGTGAAAGGTTATGAGATCAAACAGATAAACTATTGCTGTTTTACCCTCACACATAATTGCTCAAGTGTAATACCCAGCTGCGTAAATGGGTGTGTTATATACAGTAGTATATTATTTTTGAAAGTGCCATTAAAATACAGTACATACATACTGTACATATACTGTACTTAATATAACAAGAAATCAATTTTAAGAATATCAGACCTACAATAAAATTAGCTGTGTTACAGTACAGATACTATGACACTCAAACACATTTTAGACTATTATGCTATGTGTTTCACCTCAAATTCCCCCAGCTCCACCCACAGGTCCCCTTGATGGACAGGTGAGCCTCTATTTAAGCCAGAGGTGAGTCTGTAAGCTGATGAAAATGGTGGAAAAGATAGTCTTGATAGTGTTTTGGAAAGGTGACATATTCTGTAAATAATAACAATAATGAGATTAGATATCCCGATATCCAAAAAATATCTTTCCTTTTCATTTATCCTGGAATGATAACAAAGATGAAACAGGTAAGTAAATAATACCGCACTGATAATTTAAGTTTAGTTTGCAAACCTTGACTTTATTTAGGTCAAATGTTTAGTTTCTCTTCATGAATACTAAAACCACACAGTGAGCGGTCACTATATAAAAAGAAAACCACCCGGGCTCACTGGATGGTGGACATCAGAGTTCTGCTGCTTTCTTCCTTTTCTGACATACAATAAAGTAACTATTCACTGGTCCATTCTAAAAAATACTTACAGTTCTTTTGTAAAAATGCCAATTTTCCCTTCATAATATTCTCTGGAACCCAGCTGACCATAATGAATTATTAAAAAAAACACAGTAAATGACAGTTCAGGCTGTTGTGTTCATATGACTGCTGTTAACTTATTGACCTGAATTTCTTGTCCACTTGTTCTATTTAAATGGTTGCAGGGAATCTATGTTTACAACAAAGGTTGGCGGTTTGTTCCAGACTAGCACAACTGTTTTCAAAAACAATGTGCTTCCTCAATTTCAGCCCTAAACTCACTCCTTCTACCTTTCCACTCATGGGAACACAAATTAATCTGGAAAAGTGGGAGAGGGGTGTTTTTAAAAAGTGAAATCATTTTATAAAATTTAGTGTTTTCCTTTTCTATTTGCATTACATATTGTAACGCCCTCGCCTGGTGGTGAAGAGGAAGCGCCCCTAGGCACTCATAGTACTGCTGGGCAGGCTGGGAGTTGTAGCCGGGGAGAGTCTGAGGGTCAGCACGATGACCAGTGGCTGACCCTACCTGTATAAATAATGTCATATTAGTTCTAGTGTCCTGTGTAGTCTTATAGGTGTATAGCTTGTTGTTAAGTAATTACCACCTTAAAGATGTGTACGTGTTGTCAGTCTCCTCATGTGTGTGTAGATCCTGTGTTTGGTTTTGATGTGGTTGATAGAGAATAAAGCTATCGCTTCGTTCGTTAATTGCATCTCCACTGGTCCTTTGTTCTGAGAAGAACCTGTATACGCTACAATATTATCTCTGCTTATTCCACATGTTCTTTTCTTCTGTTGTCTTGATATTGTTGCTTTGTATTTTGCCTGACACTGTGCCTTGGACTTTTAGCAATGTGTTTATCCTTGGTTTGTGCTGTTTGTGTGTATTCCTGTTGATAAGCTAAGGAGAATCAGTCAGTCCTGTTTGAAATATAACAAATGATATGGCCATACTTGTTTCCAGTACTGAAGTCTGTACTTCTTGTGCAGGACACCAGATTGTGAGGATTGTAAATATTCTGTCATGCTAGAGACAAAAACGCAGGTTGAATAAGTGTATTATTCATGCTGTGTAGGAAAAATACTTTTCAGTCGGAAATGGTTTGCTTTTCCAAAAAGTCAATTTATCACCTGAACAAACTTACTGTAACTTCTTTTAGTCAAACTTGTCTGTGTTTACACTGTGACACTGTGACAATAATACTATCAGGCTGAGCTTAAGTTGAAATCTTGGATTGAATCTCAAGTCTCAGAATACCTACATCAGAAAGGTCTCTCTCTAGTTTGTTCTTCACTGGTTAAAAAAAAACATGTTTGGAAAACATGCACTCTTTTCAAATTAGATCTCTTTATTCAACAAAATTTTGCATTTGTTACAATATATTTCTACAGCATGTAAAAATATAAAGAAAGATTGCCTCTACTGAATAGTAAATGCTTTAAAATCTTTTTTTTTAAATATCAAAAGCATTTAAGAAATGCTTGAGAAACATGCAAATAATATAATGCTAATTTAATTTGCAAAATAATCCAAAAAGTAGGTAACATTCTAGAAAATGCTACCAAGAAACAAATGTGTTTTAGATAGTGGCAGATGTGGCTGTGTGTGGACTATTTTTGCATTATCTTATGAGTCTTTTGCACAGTGAACTTATTTGTTTGTGAAACAATCTTCACATTTAAAAAAAAACATGTAAAGAATCCAGAGCACTCTTACATTTTCCAAACAGTAAAGCACTACTTTAGTAGACAGTGAAAATGCATTATATCTAAGTGCAATTACAAAGATTTTAAATGTCAACATTTACAGATTACTTTTAGGTGTGAAGAAAGATGTGAAGACGGGGGTTTGAATTGAAACCTTTCTGTAGGGGGTTTAGACTTCTAAGTCACAAGCTGGGGTTTATGGCAGGAAAGGGGGTTAACTGATAAGGATTGCA